CCCTTCCCTACATTTTCAGTCCTCAGTGGCACTAAATCCAGCTCTAAACTTTGAGATGTCATGAAAATCGTATCTGTTAAACCAACTTTAAGTGCACTTGCAGTTTCTATAACCGTTGAGGGAGTTACAAGTCTAGGATCAAGCTTAGCATCAAGAATTGGGCAATGCTGGCAGCACTAAAATGCAGAGGTTGCACAAGACCGAAGCAAAAATGAAAAGTGTTGCCATCCTTCAAGGGTCTACGTGACATACAGGAAATACCAGTTGATGAGATACCACTTTTTGTAATTAATGACATTCTGTTGTGATAGCATCCAATAATAGGATGATCTAGAAAATAGTTGTTGCACACAGGCCTAGCATGTAAAACGGTTCTGCATATTTTGTTGCAGTTGTAATAAGGGATTAAATGCCATCGTTCACAAGATTTACAGTTGTAAAAATTGTGTATTTTCTGCCAATTTATGGTGCTCCATGAAAGTATCCAGCTTTCTGCCTGTTATTTTTTTTGAATTTGACCCCAAAAAATTAAATTATTTTTGTTGTCACCAAACTTTTCTGTGCTTTGCCTGTTTATAATTAGTTGAAGATTATTGTTATGATTTACTTATGTTTGTCAAACAAGTGCAAGTCTATTTGAAAAATCTTCCTAACGAGTTCAGAATTTGATTTTTGATTTCCTATCAATTTTGAAATTGTTTTGTCCTCAAAAATGCTACTTTTTAAAGCTATTGTTAGTAAGACAAGCTTTCTTTTGAAAAGCTTTTTATTTTGAAAGCTGTTTTATAGAGGAGTCTGAAGTATTGTGTAAACAGATGGGGATTTATTTCAGAGAAAGGAAATAGACAATTTCTTACTATTTCTTAATTTAAATCTGGCCAATGTAAGCAACCGAACTAAACATAGTAGAAGTGACTCAGTCTTGTGTAGGTGCTTGGAAAATTGTAGCTGTCATAGAAATATGATAATTGGATTGAGTTGTGTGGGAGAGAAGGCTGACAAGGGAAGGAGAGGGTGGTCAGATTTAAACTGGGTGCTGCGGTTACAAATAAAGCCAAATATGCAGTGTCACTGCTCAAATAAAGTGGCCAAACTTTTTATATAAGAATGAGTAATCAAGGTACGTGGTTAGGTTCCTGAAAGCAGCACGTCTCTTCCCCCTCGCCCCCCGTCCCTTTCATACTTATGTTTCTGTTCAATATGTGCATATACTTTTAAAATGTTCTTTATTCTTGAGCAGCATTGGAGTTTGGTTTTTGTGGTTTTGGTTTCTTTCTTTTTTCTTTTCCTTTCTTTTTTTTTTACCAGTTAAATAGGCTAAATAGGTTAGATAGGAACTGCAATGCAATTTTGTGTGGCAGAAACCTCCAAAATCAAGTAGTAACAGACAATGATGAAATGACAGTGCTCATTTCTCTCTTTTTGAATATGTCTAGGCTGGTGTGCCTAGAACTTCACATCCATATGATAGGCTGCTCTGGCAGTTTCTGTGGGATTGCCATAAACAATCCATAAACCCTAGATGAGGGATGGATTCCTCCATATAGCTGAGGAGGATATTACTCCTAGAAGTTTATGTAAATTGTTTCTGTCTAAAAGTATGCTAACTCAGGTTATAATTTTCCATGTTAGGATTGCTGGAGTCTGTGCTTTCACTCATCCGACTAGGACTCAAAGCATTTATGCTTACTCTAAGGCATAGTCACCCATGCACGTAGATATAAGTTAAGGTGATGCTACTTGGTGATTGCCACCTGCCAAATGCTATGTAATTTTTAAGTAGCATCCAGGTTTTTCCTGGATAGGAAGCCTGGCCAGCAGCCAAGCAGCCCTTCGTTAACTGCTAAGGAGATGCTGGAGGGTGTCAGGAGCACACCAGGAGTGCATAAAGTAGCTGAAATACAGGCAAAAGTGTAGCTTTAAGTTCTACCATCAGTATCTTTGGTGTTGCATATGCCTGTACCATAGTATGTGTTAGCCAAAGCTGCCAGATGGGACATAGCTTATTTGGGAGAGACCTCGGGCTTTCTGAATCCTCAGTTTTTGTTCATGTGGCTGACTCTCCTTTACTGGGAAGAGGACATGTTTGATGTTTGTGTAGCTATGATTTGAAATTACTATTTCCATGTTATAAACCTACTAGGGATCCATCTTGATCCTCCATACAGCAGGAGACTGACAGGACTGGATGATTTCCAGTGAGTTTTGAAGAAGAGCGTTAGATGGGAGTCTGCAATTTTCATAAAGTGGAAGACACTGTGATTTCTTTTTGCTGTGTTGTGGAGCAGTTCATTTTGCAGCAAGTCTTGGAGGATAAAGGGACTAACCAGGGACCTCTCGGCAATGTAACTTGAAATTGAATTTTGCTGTCTCGGGACTGAGAAGAAACTATTTCATTTGTCGTTCATATTAAGATGGCACAGTTCAGTTGGGAGGTGACAGAAGAATTGGCTTTTTTGGGGGACCCGAAACAAGTTGAGCTTCTGGAAACAAGTAGTGGTAGCCTTATCCCACTGCCGGCATGTCTGGCATCGCTCTGCACCGTCCTCTGTCCCTGCCAGCGCTCAGCGTAAAATCCCAGCCCCACTCAGACCGTGTATTACCAGCAGATGGAGACGGAAGAGGGAGCGGCACATGCCCCCCAACATGTGGTGTGTACCTACATCTCTCCCTGCCTTTCCCTAAGAGGAAGAAGACAAAGTGTGTGTGACTGGGGGGGTGGCAGGGAGGAGCACAGGACTCGCACCCTTGTGCCTAGGAAGCCCACTTGTTCCTTCATCCTGCACCAGGCTGGGCATTTTCCCTCTTTTTCATCTCTGGTGGAGGCAAGCCTGAGGGAGGGACTGGTGTATATCTTGAGAGCAAAGGGTTGGACCATGTATGACTGAAATGGAGACCACCAGAAAAAGCTGCTGGTTTCAGGCCTGCTGCAGTTCCTGTGGATGCTTCCTAGGCTCCGAAACCAGATGCGTTCCTCTTCAGGGTGGCCTTGGTGTTCCTGTGAGCAGCACCCGGTTGCTGTTACACAGGTTTGTCTTCTTGACTCCATGAGTTGAATTTCTTGTAAGAAAAGACAGCGTTGATATGTTATCCTTTTTAAACTGCACTTTGAAGACTGAGAAATCTAGTCATTTGATATGGACAGTAACTGGGGCTTGCTGCAAATCCCCAGTTGTCAGAGCCACTGAGATTCCTGAGGGCCAGCCTTTTCTCAATACAGTGCTTCAGATTTGTCTCCGATTCCGTAGTTTAGATACTGGAGTAAGCAGTTTTGAGAGTTTTTGTATGCATTTTTAGAACCAAATGGTTTGATTATGTTACGATTTATAAATTGATACAGCTCTTCAAATTTCTGATAATTTTTTTTTTCACGTTATCTTGTGGTGAGGGGACAGAATTTAATTTTTTAGTATCTTTTTTTGTTGTTGTTGTTTTGATGCATAATGCCTAGGGTCTATGTCATAAATGACAGCCTGCACAGTGGCTTTGTTATTGATACTGTATTAGCTGTGACTTTTGAAAAAGAGAGAATACACAATCAGAAAATAAGAGCAATATTAACAATTTTATCTTTTTTTAAAGGAATTTGAAGAGCCTGGCAGCCAAGCTTGTATTGGCAAACAAGTTGTTACTATTTTGTGTGATTCTGTCTTATTCCCCTTTCCCCTTAAGGACTGCTTGAAGTCTCTGCTTTACCCTTGCAGTTTGTGTCATTGACTAGACATCCCAGAGATGTCCCTTTCTTAACCCAAAGTGTGAAATATCTCTTAACTATGTGAACCTTGGGTAAGAGAGCACATGGGTGAAATCAGCTGTCATAAAAATATAGTCAGTACAAGGTATTCATCAAGTTGGATGTGATAGCAGTAGTGGCTAAGGAATGTAACCTGTGCAGAAGATGGCAAAAGGGCAGGTGAATCACATTTGTCTTCCCTATCAGCTAACCTGAAAGTTGACAGCTGCTAGATTTAAAGAACTGTAAGCCATACAAAACCTAAAACATTCATAGATGTAAAACAAAGGATTTAAAATCTGTTTACTGTTAGATGCATCTTTTAAAAGAAGTTTATTTCAAAGCAAAGCTTCTGCATGATAGTAACACTATGATGAATTTTACTTTCTGTAAATAGCTCTTTATGGGCAAGGTACCTGACATATTTCTAAAATAGATTTTTATACATTTTTTTCTTTTTCTATTAATAAAAGATTTTTTTAAAAAAAAAGAACAACTGATTTTTATTTTTTTTCTTACAATCTCTTCTGTAGAGCCTGGCCAAGTTAACAGATGGATTCAGGAATAGCTGTTGTATTACAGATTCCCTGCAGGATCTCCAGCACAATTCTAGTTCACTCAGCGACTCCTGTTTACCTCAACAACACTGCGATGCTTGTTCTCAGACTGACATCACTGGAGAGGTATGCATTCCTATGTGAGACATTTGCTGTAGAAAATAAGCTGCTTTTGTACTATAGTGATACATCATTATTTCCTGGTTTAATTTAAGAGGTGTTGGCTGTAGCAGGACGAAAAATCCAAAGCAGTATTGGTGGCGAGGGAGTTGCTTTTACTTATTGTTTCCAGAGCATATGAGCAGCGGTCATGAGTGGTGGGCTTTGTGGTTCTCCTACTTGAGTGTGGCAGAGGCGCGTATCGGCATTGCTCACAGGTCAGTGACAGGTAAAATCGGCTCCCGGACTCAGCCGGCCTGACAGAGCACTTCTGGTGTCATCACTTTGGTGACCACAGGCTTGTCTCTGAGTAACAGCTCTTGCTGAGGTATCCATGAACCTCTTCTCTTGATGTCACCAGCTCTGACTTACTGATACTTGTAATGATGCAGGAAGGAAGAAAACGCTTTAGCCAGCTTGAAGTTGCAGTAGAGACCCGGTTGTGCAGCAGCATGAGAAGTGTGAGATGTTAGTATTGTGGTAGTAGTGATGGATTATTTTTTGTCTGTTTGTTTTTTAAATCTTGTTTTTTATCATGCTTATTGTCATTGTTCATATATATCAAAGATGTAAGGTAAACATCTGTTCCTTTCCTCTGTCAAAGACAAGGGAAGTAATTATTAGTCTCAAAGTATTTTTCTTAAAAACCAGCAAAACTTCTGATGTAGTCTGTCATACCTTGATGTTCAAATACGCCTTTAAATATGATATTTGAGAAGAACATATTAGAATTCCTTGGAAATAGTTCTTTGCGAATGAAATTGTGTATTGCAAATAATAAAAATTTGGCTTGTACTAGTACTATGGCAACCTAGCTGTTCTTGCACAATAAAACATTTGCTTCTGTGGATGAGATTGACCACAAAGCAAGATGACAACCTGTTTGTACTTTGTTAGTACCATAGTTTGGATGTTACTCCACATTTGGTTAGAAATTTTTATTGAACTATGTAACTTCTTGATTGTAGGCTTTTATCATCCCATTTCTCCTCTATTGTCCTCTTTCACTGCTGACTAGTTGCCAAGTTGGATGTCTCCAGAGGGCTTTTATCATCCCATTTCTCCTCTATTGTCTTCTTTCACTGCTGACTAGCTGCCAAGTTGGATGTCTCCAGAGGACCTCTACAGAAGAGGAAATCTGTGCTTTTAAGAAGATATACTTCTAAAGCATCTAAAAAAACTTAGCTAACACTAGGCTGTCTTTCAGTGTGTTAGGTAGATGGTGCCTCTGAGATGTCATTTTTCAGACATTTCATGATGGATGTGATTATTGAATTCCAAAATGAATTACCAAAAGGAACACTGCAACATTTTCCCATTCACAATACATATTGAGTGCCATACAAGGCAAGCCAAGTACTGTCTGAAAATTGTGTTTACCAGGTATAGTTTTTTTGTTAGGAAAATAAAATTACATAATTACGTTAATTATTTTCCTAAATTATTAGTAGTGGAATGGGAGTAAAAAAGAGGTGGATTTTTTACGTGTGTGATGATGAAGATAAGCCAAGCAGCAGCTAGATGAGAAATCCAGAGGTGCAGCAATGCACTTAAATAGGGACTTGGGTTTTAACTGTTAGGCTGTACACAAACCTTTTGAAGAGGGGAACTGCTGATGCCCTAAGATGGAGAGAAGTTGCTGTAGAAACTGGACCGTATACAGTAGGAGTGGTAGCATAAATGCACATTCTACAACTGCTTCAAGGATCAGGTGATGTTTTTGTAATAGTGTTTAAAATGCGCTAATGATCTAAGCGCTGGGTAACAGGTCACAGTACAGAGAATGTAATCTGAGTTACTTCTTGTTAAACTATCGATAAAATAGCTGTTTCAAGTAGTAAAATATTTCACTTAATACTCTTTGTATTTTAGGCTTGGATAAAGTTGAAAAGCTTTGACCATTCATCAATGATTCTATTTGCTAACCCTTGATTTTCAGGGTCATAATCTATTGAAAGGGCTCATTTATCTTCTGTATTTTTAATAAGAAACCAGTTTTGTATTTCTAAAGCATAAAACTGATTTTTATTATGTTATTACTTAAAGCATTGATACTTCTTAGTGCGTCCAATAAGTAAGACTTACTTATCCCTTTCTTTATTGTGAGTGTGTTTTTAAAATCTCATTTCTCCCTCTCTTTTTTCCCCCTTTCCTTGCTCTTCAACTCTGCAAAAGTTTGGGTTTGATGATAAAACAAGACTTGTAGACAAAGTAAGACTGAACTGGCAATATGAAGAGGCCAAGAAAAGGTAATTAAAGATAAATTTGTTGGTTTTTATTTTTACTCTTGTGATTATAGTTTTCAAAGTAGAACTGGAATGAGACTCCTAGCTGAAATATCTTTAGGAAGACTAATTTCCTTACTATTGAGTAGTTCACAGATAATAAAAGCTTAGGTAAACATAAGACTTTCTCATAAGATTATTACATTTGTTTGCAGAGATAAAGCTAAATGTCAGCCCTGTTCTATACTTGTATAAACACAAAATTGCACTAGTTTAATTTAACTGTCGTACACACCCTCACCCCCCCTTCTTCTCAAACCTCAATATAAACAGTCTTTAAATTTACGCTTGTCAGCCTGGTCTGTCAGTACCTTTGGAGCTTTGCATACCTGTGTTCTAAGTTCAGTGTACTGAGATTGTGAACTCAGTGTGAAGAAAGAATGCAGAACTTCCTGTGAGATAAATGAAGATGTTCAGAGCTGAACAAAAAAGTGCGTAAAAATAAATGTTGAGATTAAAAAACAAAATCTGATAAAAAATTAAAAAAAATACTTCAAATAGATTCATTCTTCACTAGGTCCTTCAAGTTAATTGCTTATCATAAGTATTTATTTTTTGAAGATCAGTCTTGCAGTGTTTTTTCATGGCTTTGTAAAAGTAATGTATTCTTATTTAGTACTATTTTAAAAATAATATCTACTAGTATAGTTAGCGGGTCCTCATTTAACCTCATTGTTTTCAAACTATTTGCCACATATTCAGGACAATAGTGTAGGTATAGATGATGACTTGAACACAGTAATTTTATACACTGATGAGTATTTTAATTTGTCCTGATAGGACATTTTCCTATTAAAATTGACTGACCCTTAAATGATTCTGTATAATTCTGTATAACTTTGAAAACCTTAGTTTTTTCATTTCTTTTTAAGTTAGGATTTTTCTTTTTTTCTTTTCAACTTTGTCTATTTTGCCAGTTTTTTACATCTCTCAGAACAAGGGTTAAAAAAAAAGTTCAATACTTTTGCCTCTTTTTTTTTTTTTTTTTTTTTTTTTTTTTCATATTACGGTGACTTTTTCTTTGGGGGAAACTGTAATGCTGTCATATGTCTTGGCAGGGATTGGAAGCTTTATAGGCAATTCGCCATTTTGTTCTTGGAAAATTTATCTGCATTTGGATGCAATACAGGCTTCAAGAAAAAAATTAAATTGGTGCAAGCATGTTAGAGCTACACAGCTAAATCTTCAGGATTTGTATGGGAATGAAAGTCTGCGTTGTAAAATACTGCATGTGAATAGCAGTGACTATTACCTAATAAAGGTTAAATAACTGGGGAAAAAAAGGGCAAAACAAAAACCCATCACTGTGCTGTTTGGTCATAGGCTTAGCCCTTAGCACTTAATAGCCCAGTGATAATTTCAGGGTTCATGACAGCTGCTGAAAGAGTAGGATAGAATTTAGTTTTATACTGTTTAGTTTAGCAGAGCCACTGGTGCTGTGAAGATTATATTAAATTTATAGTTTGGTTTTCTGACATACCTTGTCTATGTGTTTTTCAAAACAATTCTCCTCTTGTGTGTTATTGCAGGGAAAAGATTGGGGGGGGTGTTGTGTGTGTGTCATCTTGTGTTGTTGTTTTTTTTTTTTCCCCTGTTTTTTGTTTGTTTGTTTTTTGTAGCAGAAGCATTTCTCAGCTGGAAATGCATGGAATGCAGTATTTCTGAACATCAGAAGTGAGCTGGGGTTTGATGTTAATTAAGTGTAGAAAATCCGGGTAACTAACCTTCCAACGAGAGAACAGTAATTGCACCAAGGGTAGTTTTGCTATCCCGGGATAGCGGCTCCGACAATGGTCTGTTATTTAGCAAAAGCATGTTAGTCGCTTTAAAATAGTAGCCTTATTCTGCCCAGTATGTTGTACGGAAGTAACCAGCTTTCAGCTTTTGAGTGGAACTGCACAAAGCTCATTGCCCCTACCAGTTATCTCTGTGGTTGCATTCTTCATTTATCATGCATTCCTTCCCCTTAACTTGCTGGCATTTCTGTAGGGCTTTTGTCTCTACTAACTATCTTTGTGTTCGTTCTCCCTTGGCTGGTGAAATATCTACTGTTACTGCACAGTGTGGGTGACGGAATGTGCTGTGATGGATTAAAATCTACAAAGTAGAAAATTAAAATGCTACAGTATGTCACAACTGTAAAGCAGTATATTATGACTACTTGCTTGTCAAATGGGGTGTGAAAACGTGTAGCAAGTAAGTACAACAGACAAACTGTCTTATTTCCAGGTTTTAATGGGAGACTTTTAAAAGGCAGTGTAGGAGAAAAGTATGTCTTTTCCCTTAAAGGAAAGCAGGAAAAGAGCCCCACAAACTGAAGGGCGATGCGTTGCATTTTAGTCACTCTGAATCTAGCCAGAAGATCATACAGCTCTAGATATGAGCAGAATATTTGCTGTATGTAGTAAAGAAGTTTTTAAAAATACAAATATGTTCTCTGTATATGGTGTCTGAGCAAGGAAATACAGTGTTGGGATTTCTGAATAAACTACCCTGAGGAATTCGGAAGATGAAACCCAGTGATAGTACAAAAGTTGGCTTATACTCCCCAAACATCTCTCTTCCCTCAAAAGATAATTTGATTTTAATTTCTCCTTCAAAAGTCTGTCTAACTACTGTGTGGTTTGGCTTTTGTATAAATTAAGACATTCACGTAGCTTTTTTTTTGCCCCTTCAGTTTCCCACTGGAAGGAAGTTGGATAATTTGCAATTTAATTTTTCCCATGAGTATTTCAGATGTTGTGAGCTGTGGGTTCTGACATCTTCAGCACGCTGGGGAAGAGGTTCTCTCTCCTGTGTCTGATCCAGGCTCTTGAAGGAGGCGTGTAAATTCTACTTTAACTCATCCATCACGCTGAAGAGAGGCTGAGTCATTTCTGCTCTTTACTCTTCTCTTCCCCCCCCCATTATTTTTAAATAAACTGTACCTTATTTCCATGAAATTTCTTCTCTCAGATCTGTCAGTGTGGCCCTCCAGAGAAGCCGGAGGGAGGGAGGAAGGACGGTCTTTTTGAACAGACAGCCCCAAGTTGCCTGGATAAATACTGTTTTCTGTTTCAGTTGCTATTTCAGTGAGACCACCTCTCATGAAAGCCTTTGCACGCTGGAAAGTATACCCCTCAAGCACTTTCCTGAATAGACTGATTAACAGAAAGAGAAATCAAAAGCAAATTGTTTTTCTTTGATAACTCTTAAATTGTGCAGTTCAAGATAATGACTACATGAAGCATATTAGCAAATGATCATGAAATATCATTGCTGCAGTGCCTCTGATCCTGTGAAGTGTATTAATCAACAGATGAAAAATGATCCCTCCAATAAGAAGCACCAAAATTTTTGTGATTTTTTTTTTTTTAAGTAATCCAGTCTGATGGTAGCTGAGTTTAATGAACTAATACATGGAAGCATCTTCAACTACCTTGTCTAATTTCGGTGCAAAAGCAGTAATTTGTTTAAGCCTTCTGTAAATTTGAATTCAAAGATGTTATTATTCAATTAAATTGTTTAAATCATACAGTGGCTGTTAACAGATTTATTTTAGCCTTGAAAAAGCCACCTCCTTAGCTATACTTAATATTTCCTCATTCCTTTTTAGAATGTTACTTCTTTCTTTTCAGTATAGTTGCTGAATAGTTACTTTGTTGCAAACTTGTCTCGTTACTGAGATTAATTTCAGTTGGGCTTTTAAAAGCACTAGCACAAGCAGAAGTGTGTCAGTGCAATTTGTGCTTGTACTGACAAAATACATATTGGTTGGATATTGAGAGCAACATTCCAGTACTAATGCAATAACATAGTCAAATATTTTCCTGTTAAAATTCATCTTCTGTAGGCAGATTTCAAGGTGTAATTGCCTAATTACAAGTGAAATTCAGTGGATTTGTATGCTTTATTCTGCTTTATTCTGCTAAACTAATCTGAAAATCTGATTTAGGGATGAAGTAATTTGTCTGATGTATCTGGCTCAGGCATGTCAGCTAAACATAAATCTCTCAATGTCAGTTTTTAAACATAAGACTTTTTCTTTGGATTATAAAGGGAGCTGAGACATGCTCTTGAACTGTCTTTAAAGTTTTCATTATACTAGTTTACCTGTGAATTGGGGAAAATACTAATTCGTCTCCTCCATTGGTTTTGGCAGGCTTTGCAGTTTTCCTAAAGGTGAATACCTAGTTTTATCTGCAAAATGCCAGTGGACTCTAAAGGTTTCATGAGTGTCTTAAGCCAATTTAAGATCTCCTTGTTATTGAATTGGACTGCCAGGAAGGCTGGATATTCTACAGAGCATGCTGGTGTTGTCCGCCAAAGCCACAGTGGCACATACTTGCAGGAACAGCCAAAGTAGACACAGTGGAGAAATTTTGTGAGCATTTGGCTGAGTTCCTCAGCTTCTTGTTCTTTCCATTTCTTTCTTCCCCTTTCTCTAGCCTTCCCCTCTTTGGATATAAATCGTAATCCACTGTCAAGAGGGTCCATAAATACCAGAAATTACCAAGTTCTTACACTCTTCATTGTGTGTCTTCAGTCCCACAGCCACCTCCTCCGGGTATTGCACATGGGAGAAGATCCCTGTTACCTGAAGTGGCAGAGAACTGGGTTCAGTTATAAGACCATTAATCAGCCTAAGGATCAGAGTAAGCTGGGCTGGTTTATGTTGATCGTCTCTGTGTGTTTGTGTGATCTTAGCCACCGTTCTCCAAATCATAACTGTGGAATTTTTTTTTTTATTTATTTTATCCCCAGCGTTCTTTCTATTCCACAGTTAAGAAAGGCCTCAGCTGTAGAGTGGTCTGATATGTCACCCAAAAGTCTAGGCATTTAAATGTGGGGGAGTATTGGGCTTTTCCCTTGGAAAATTCAAACAAAGTAAGTTTGAAGAACTTGTTTAAGGTAGAAGGACTTGTAGGTTAGGAAGTGCCAGCTGTAGGATACCTATATCTTGTCCCTTTTATGAGCATAAGTTACGACCTTTGTATGCTTCAGAGATTTCCCTCCCCAAGACACCTGTCTTGTTCATAATCTGAATAATGGTCTAAACATGGGGTTAATTGTAATTGTAAATTAGACTCTCTCATCTCACAGAAAGAGATTTTTACTTTAATCTCACTTCTTATGCTATATTTTTAATAAATAATGTCTTCTAAACTGAAATGTTCTGGAGCTGAGCAGTATAATTTCATTAGTGCTGGCGTCAGATGGCAGTCTTGAAAATGAGATCTGAGATGCTAACAAAATCTTTTAGGTTCCCCAGATATTTCTAACGGCAGAAGGGTTGCCCTATTTTGTCAAGGGGGCTCTGTGTAGATATATAACGATTCAGACATGCTGTAAATTCTGAAAGTACATGCTTTTTTGCCCCCATGATGTGGTTTGTATAGTAAACTACTGGCTGTAGTGATTTCCACCCTCATGCTATGTCTACATTATCTTGGGCTAGGCGTCATTCCAGTTACATTAGTATGGCCATTTCAGGGCAAGTTTGCCATTTCAAATCACTGTTTACTTAAGATCACCAGGTTAGACCTTTGTCATCCCATCTGTACCCCTCCTGCTTTTCTGCTTAACAGGAGCTGTTACATTCATCTCCGTTTGAAATTTTTAAATACTGAAATAAGCAGCAAGTCAGTCTGCCTACCTAGGAAACTAGTCATTTGATACCACCTACTCGAGCGTGGAATGCAAGCTCCTCAGCACTTGTTATGCAAGGATGGGAATGGGCAAAATGCCTGGAATGTTGATGGCTCAAAATTAACTGTTTTTTCCCCAGGAATGTATCAGTAGGGACTTTAGTATCTGACATTAGGCTGGATGAAAGTACTCTTTTACAGTGACTACACTTAAGAAGTAGTGTCTTAAAAAATACCCGGTAAGAAGGAAAAACGTGTTTGAAAAACAGAGGCTTCATAAAGGATCCTAAATATTCCCCCCCCTTTGACTTGACGTAGCTTGCAATTTATTGATTTATTTAAGTGGGTGTTTAAGATAGTGAATATACGCACTGAGTCGGAAAACATGAAACAACCACTTTTTTTGTAACATCCCAGCAGTGAGAATGGCTAGTGTAGTATAGGTATAAAATCTGGCATGGACAAGCACAGTGAAATTGCTTATTTATGCATTTACTGTGATTGGGAAGAAAACTTTTGTTGGGAGAAGACAAACTGCTATTATGGAACATGCTTCAGATTTTTTTTTTTTTTATTATAACTTTAGCAGGACTGAACATGAGTCCTCAGATATTTTTCTTAAGTTTGAGTGAGACCATAAAAGCCTTGGGGACATTTTCTAGCCAAGGAGATAAATTTTAAAAAGTTTATCACTGGTAGCTTTTTAGAACAACTTACTGCACAGAGGGAGTCCTCAGTGGAGAGCAAGTAACTAAATTCCCCAAAACTTTGGTTCATTTGCAGGAAATACAGGTTGCAGAAAACTGGCTTATTGGTGCTGAAGTTCCCCTCGCAACATATTTCTGCATTATGTAGCATTTTGCAAGTGCTTTTTCTTTGCTTAAAGGGAAAATGTGGAGACAAGAAGAGCTAACTGAAATGCTAAGAGTGTCAAGGGGATCAAAATAAATACCTAATCAGATTTTGGAACTCTTCAGTGATACAAACCTTGTCCACAGCAGTGCTTTTCCCTTTAATAACAGTATAATTAAGTTACTGTGCGACAACTTCCTACTTTCAAAGCATCATCATAACAGAAATTGAAGGGGAAAACCCCAACTTTAAACTGGAATGTCATACACAAAGGAGTTAGGTGCTCTCAGCAAGCTCAAGTCTAAATTAAAACCTCTTGTATTGAGGGTGGTGGTTTACTCTACAGCCGAGCGGATTCAGTGGTTAACTAATGCTGAAAGGGGGGATCCCACCTTCCCCTCTTGCCTGCTGGTACTTCTCTCTGCCTTGTTGCGTACGTTAGAGTTTATTTGCTCCTATGGTCAGCTTCTTAACCAGCTCACCCTGCATTAGAAAAATAGCTAGCAAAACAATTGTGGGTCTTAAAATGAAGGAGAGGGTCAGTCCGTCAGCTATGTTATAAAACAACCTGGAGACTTCACCAGACACATCTTGTCTTTCATCCACAAGCTATGGTGCACGCTCGCTTGCCAAGCTATGATAACTCAATTGTACCTGAATTCTGTAATTCCATTGAAAGGACCTTGAGTCCCCATTTGTTTCATTTGGCACTGAACACTTGAAAATCAAGCTGTATACGCCTTCAGGAGTGTTTACTGAATCTTTAACAGCGTAGCGGCCTGGGTAAGGGAGAGGAGGGATCCTGACTCTGCTCGCTCTTCCTGGCCCTGACATTTGGTCGGTGGGGCGAGGTGTTCTTCAGGAAGCTGCATCTGGAATTCATGCACAATAGCTGAGGCGTGAAATATGTAGAACTATAAATATCGATTCACAATGGTGCTTTCAGTAGCTATTGGCAGGAAGTTGGTTATTAATGCAAGGAGGAGGAAATGGTATTGAAGGGCTTGATAAAGTATTCTGCTTTAGACTAAAATGTAACATAATACCCAAGTTCTTTACTTGCTATAAATGAAATTTAAGGGGGGGGGGGAAATCTCTTTGACAAAATTCACAGTAAAACTCCTATTCATATATGAATGCAGTCATTGCGAAATGGCTTATTGATACTTTATTTCCCTTCCCCTGACAATGATGGCCAAATACTTTCCAGATGTCAGTATGAAATAAACGTTGCATGGGTTTTTGTTTTTAGATGGGGGAAAACCTTACCTTTGTGATGTCTATGCCTTTTCTTTTCTTCTTAAACACGTGTTATTACACTGTGGGTCTTCTGTTTGCTTGTTATGTGCTTTTACCTTGCTTTGTTTGTTATCTTTTCTTTCTTACCAGATATTTTGGAAAAAAAGATTACTTTAAATAACTTGTCGGGTCAGCAGAATGAATGTGTATGCCACTTTTATGGCTGGCTTTAAATGTGCTTTTATTTATTTATTTAAAGGGGGATAATCTTTTATGGTGCACTGAACTTTGAATGCTACCATTTCGAAGTGAAGATGAAACTGAGGTGTACAACTGCATAACTGTTGTACGGTTCTTTAGTTTCAATTGTTCAAAAATCAGAAAGCTAGATCTTCTCTTACTTACTTTTCGTTTTAACTCTAACATTCTAAAGTGTCTAAATTGCCAGTTGTAAGACAAGCATATATACCTAGCAGTAAAAGAGTGTTCTCCCTGTTGTATGCCTTTTGATTTTGCCAAAAGAAGCATTTGTGAAATTTCTAGCTTTAGGGTTCTTTGTAATATTTATAAGAGTTCAAAATTTGGTTTTAGCAGAACATTTTCTTAAAATGTCAACTGTGGAATTATTCTTAAAACTGTTGTTTCGTGTAGTGGTTCAGCATATTGAGATGTAGGAAACTACTTTTGGCTATAAAGCCTACTACAAAAAAAAGTTTACTTATTTAATTGCTTAATTTAATGATGAATCCATCTAAAGCCATCTGTATTTTGTAAACAGTAAATCTTTTTTCAGACCTATGTTTTTGTTTTATTGACAGCTTGCTTAGTCTTAAAATTTTGTTGTTGGTCAGGACAGGACTGCCTAATATTTTCAGGCCCTTGAACCATTCCTCTACTAGGTGGGACATGAACATACGGACCTATTGTCACTAGATAAGCATCTCCCCTTCATCCCCTTCAACTTCTCACTGCACTTTTGAAATCCCAAGTTAAGATCTGATAGTGGAAGAAAGAGGAATGAAAGGATGTTCAACTTCATTTGCTGTACAGGCAGCAAACTCAAGAGCTCTAAAATATGAACTGATTTATTACAAAATGAGAAAGCTATGAAGACGGGTATTGTCCATGTGATAGATAAAGGCACTGTAGTCCTTATGCAGCTACACACTTACGAGCACTTGCAGTTCTTTAATGTTTTAAAAATACACAAAACAAAATGAAAAAACACCACAGAAAAAAGTCACAGAAGTCAACAGGTGTCACCTTTTGGTATTTTTCCTCTTAATTGTCTTCATCTTTGTCTCTTGTGCATTTTGAAATATATTTATCCTCTTTTAAAGAGTTTCGAATATACAGCAGCAGCTGGCCTTGCTAGATAATGAATCTTGGCCAGGAATGGCTGAAGCGGACAGGGACCGTCTTCAGCTCATCAAAGAGAAAGAGGCTCTTCTTCAGGAGTTGCAGCTCATCAGTCAGCAGAGACGATCCCCAGAAGACATTGCACGTTTGGAGGAAGAAAAAAGACGCTTGGAGGATGAAATTCAACGGGCTCGAGCAACGTCTGCTCATGGGGCCACTGAAAGGTTTGGGAATTTAAATCGTTTCCTTATCTACAGTAAGATCCATATAGCTAGTTTCAAAAGGAAGAGTAGAGTATTTCATTGTGCTTACGAAATAAACAAAAAAATGTTACTAGAGTAATTTGCTTTCAAAAAAGGAAGAGACTGCTCCTGACTACCATTATTTAATTCTGTCTTGAAGTTTTCTGGAGGAGGGTAAGAGTGATGTCAACTACTTAGTTCTCCTTTCATTCATCTAAAAAATCTGAACAGGAAGAAGAGATCAGAATAGAGTCACAAAAGATGCTTGGAAAAAGTCTGAGTGATATTCTCTGATAATAGAGACCTGAGCAACAGTACCTGGATAGTGAGAGATTTTTCTGTTATTTTACAATGGAGTAATACTCATCTGCAAAAACATCAGAACAAAGATCCTTTTCTATATTTGATTTCCTGCCTTATAACAGGAAAGTTAAATGGTTAAGTTTTTACTGCGTTTTACATAGAATTTTTCCTTTTAATTTGCAATCTCAGCAGTGGGAGCACATCCCAACTCTGACATTCAGAGAACATTCAGAGACTCAGTAAACAGAGTCATTCTTGAAAACTTAAATATCAAGTTATGTGTAAAAACAAACAACCCCCAAAACATATTAATGGCAACACTGTGTTTGTTTCAAAGTTGCCCAGTTTTTCCTGTAGCCAAAGAAATGGACAAAACCTCTTAACCTCCTCTTGTTACCATAGACTGCTTCCAGTGAAAGCGAGAAAGTGCTTGTTCTTGTTTCCCAGACTTGCTTCTCTTAAATGGTGGTAAAAACCCAGGTTTGACACTTGAGGAAAACTACATGAACCAGCTTTAATGTGATCTGTGTAAAGTTTAATATTTGCATAATTAAGACACTTTTAAAATATTTGGAAGTGCCTGCCTTATACAAATTTTGACAACTTCAGTTCCTTTGAAAAGGCTTACTTCAGACAGTAAATTCAGGCAATAAATAGAAAATTCACAGCCAACTTACTATTCCATGTTATATATTTTGCAATTTTTGCAATATTGTTACATTGGCTTTCCAGCTTAAACTGACAGAAAAGGGAGTTCACTTTACACTGCGGTGTAGTGAGTTTTATTTGTTGGTTTTGGGCTGTCATGTTAGGTAGTGCATACTATGTTGGCAGGAAGGCAAAGCTATTTTTCCATGTAGTTCATGCTGTGGAAACCAGTGTTCCAATGTAATACTTGGTATTTCAAATGCTAGCAAGAAGTTGAGTAGAAGTTAGAATAATATTGAAGGGCAGTCTATTTTTGTATAACAAATTGGAGGAAAGCTTAACTATTAGTAGCCCTAATTTATTTGTTTATTTGTTTTAGGCTTGGGAATAACCAAAAACATTCCTAGTTCTGCTTTTCTGCTTTTTCTCTTTCTACTTTCTCCTAATCATGAAATACAAAGAAGTTTCCTCCTTAAATAATTACCAGTTCTGTTACTGAGTTTTAAAGGCACTGAGTTACGTGCAGATCAGAACTAACTTAAAGTCTGTGTGACAGATGGGGTTTTTCGTTGGTTTTCAGGGGGTTTTTGTTGGTTTTTTTGTTGTTTTGTGGTTTTGGTGTTGTTTTGGTGGTTTTTTTTATTTTTTTGTTTGTTTGGTTGGTTTTTTTTGAAGATTGGCTAGCAGCATTGGTTGGAGGCATCTCTTGCCCTTTAGTGCAGGTACCTCCCTTACAGCATTGATGACTATGGAGTGTTTTGTAATGTGGATGATGTTGATACCCCTTCTTTCCCCTGCAAGCTTTTGAATCAGTTAAGTTTCTAGCATCCATTTGTCTTTTTCTTTTGGTTCCTCTATGCAGTGCCTTTATCATGTAAGTTTACATAGCTGAGCTGCAGCCTTCCTTGCACCACTTGATTAACTTGGTCTGGCGTCCACAGAAGCAGGAGGAAAGCTCCAGCATTGCAGGCCCTGCGATGTGCAGCTTCTGCCGGGCGGTTGCAATGGAGGGAGCCTGCCCAGAGGGTGGAGGGGTTGCTGGAGCGTAGCCATACAGCCCCTTGCCAGGATAGGAACTGCCGAAGTTGGAGGCCGAAGAAGCTGAGTGACTTATGTTTTCACTGCTAACAAAGACATATTTTTTTTGTATCTCAACCATCCAAAGTTTATTGAAATCAATGCTGCCATTTTGTTTTATCCAGAAGGACTCCCTTTTTGTTGGTTGGTGTTTTTTTGGTTGTTGTTGCTTTTTTTAAATCCTTCCCATTGACATGTTGAATTCTAACAGCTGTCTTGGCAGTTGAGGAGAGTCTGAAGCACTCAAAAGTTTGATCTGCTTTTTCTCCAAACTGTCTGTCAGGCAATTTGTAAATGCAGGGCTGGAGCAGTAACTTTCTTGGATATACAACTGTACAACACAAAAGAGAGAACCACTCTGTTTTTATTTTGAAGTTCGGTGATTGGGCTTAGAAAAACAAAACACCAGCAATACTTAGAATTCTGGATTCAGGAAAAGAATAAATGTGATATCAATAGATAAAATCTGTTATTTGAAGTTTTAATAATCTCAAAATACAGAATTGAAGATATCTTATAGGTGTATGAGACCAACAGTCTTATAGGTATATTCCACTTGTGTTGTGGCAGTGGTACTGAGTAATGCAGCTGCTTGTTATCAGAACGAGCAAAAAAATAAGTCTCAGCGAGAGATTTTTGTCGTAGCTTAGGATTCAAAATGCTATATCACCTGCTTAAATGTAATATTGTTTGGAATATTTTTTTCCTGCCAAGGTGACAAAATTCATAGTAGTTCTCTGTATTTTACTGGCACAATCAGGTTGATGCAAGGGAAAAAAAAAATCTTGTAGACTCTGATGTTCTTACCTAGGACTTCTTATGAACTGGCTCATTGCTGTAATGTATTTTCAACATCATGACTCTTACATTGTGCTTCAGTTACTTTTCTTGTCTGGGAATTCTGCTGGAGTCTTGGTTCTTGTGTTCTTGCTGGAATTACCATCGCTGCATATGAACTGCGTAATTTAAAACTTTTCATTAAACAGTGAAACTTCTTTTTATATTCCAAACTGCAATGCAATGATATTTTTCTGTACTTGGAAAGCTCCTTGCACTTCTTGAGCACTACTGTAATGAGGAGAAATATTAATATGTATCTGTTTAATTATAGGATACTGTTACAGGAAAAGAGAAATTGTTTGCTTATGCAACTAGAAGAAGCCACACGTTTAACCTCATATTTACACTCCCAGTTAAAAAGGTGAGTTATGTAAAACCAGCAGGTTTTGAAGTTTAACTGCAGCAGAGAAGAATATTAATAATCTATAAAGTTTACCTTTTAATACTTTTATGTATATGTGCCAAGTAAATTAATTTTTTACTAAATTTATACAGTTTGATCTATGGAATGTCATGATTTGGATGGAGTTTTATAAATAGTATTAGTGATGGCTATTTGGGCTAGATTATTATGTGTATTTGGGAATTTTATATGTTCTCATCTGAAAAGAAGATATGTACTTAAAACCCATTGTAATATTGTTACAGTTTTACTAATATGAAGATAACATTCTTTTAAGTTCTGTGACATTTTGATATTCTGATACCTTCTCCAAAGGAGGGGTTTTTGATCCCTAGTGAGATGACAAAATTTTGCCATTTAAGTACGAGAATGTGCTAAGACCACACAGAAGCCCAGAATGTTTTGCATATTCACACTTGCAGCTGCCTTTTTAGATGCAGCTCCTGGGGATTCCTCAGCTCAACACCATGCCAAGATCAAAAGCTCAGTCCCTGCTGTGTCTCACTTCATCTTTCTTTGTCACTTATATTCTTCTCTCCCTAACTGTCTGAGAGTGGTAAGAAGAACTGGAATAGGATTCATCCTAAAGTCTTTTTTGATTTTGCACTGGAAAAACCTGGGAGAGTGAGGCTTACACAGCCGTTTGTTAGGACTTTTCCAAATCCCTTCGCACTTCTCCTCCCTGATACGTTTATGACCCATCATTAACATAAATTCAAGCTGGATCATGGTAACCTACCCTTCCTGGCTTTACATTGAGTCCACTGATCCAGATCCTGCTCTGGCCTCTCTTCTGCCAAATTATGGCTGCTTACACGTTGGAGGAAACAGTAGGCATGTCCTGTTGGATCGTTTGTCTTCAGGCGCTTGGTCCTGATTTGATTGTCAGTTGTGCTATTGCAGTCACGGTCGTGCTTGAGACCAGGGCAAAAGACACGAGCTAGACCTTAAAATGCCAAATCGTCTCTCCATGTCGCTGTACTGAATACATGTAAAATTGCTTGTGTAATCTGGATTGACATTTTTATGTCTGTGCCGATGTTTCTGATTATATTTGAAAGGGCCTTTTTTGTTTTCTCTTTCTTTGCCTGCTGTAGTCTGTCGGCTAGCACCCTCACGATGTCCTCTGGCAGCAGCAGGGGATCCCTGGCCTCCAGTCGAGGATCCTTGGCCTCCAGCAGAGGCTCCCTCAGCTCGGTCAGCTTTACAGACATCTATGGCCTTCCGCAGTACGACAAGTCAGACAGCGTTACAGACTACGGGCAGCATTTACGCTTTGACATAATTCCCTTTGAGTCTCTCACAAAAGATGTGCCATACACTGATCCCATCGGACACTCAAATTTCAATAAGCAGCGGAGGTCTCTGGATACCCCGCAGTCCCTGGCGTCCCTGTCATCGCGGTCCTCCTTGTCATCGTTGTCACCTCCAAGCTCACCTCTGGACACTCCATTTCTCTCTGCATCTCGAGATTCTCCCTTGGCTCAGATGTCGGAAGGTTTTGAGGAGATGGCAAGCATAGGAGCCCTGGAAATGCTCAGGGCTCAGACCACAGCGTTGGGTGACGATGATGCACAAGGAACAAGCTCGTCTCAGACATCCACTTACCCTGTGGACAATGAAGGGCTGCGAGAAATGGGACCACAGCTGACTGTCCAAACTGGTGGAGGTGAGTTTCTGGACGTTATTATTTGGTCATGTTGTCACAAAAAAATGTCACACAGACCTTAGCACAGTAGAGATTGTTCCTCAGTTTGGCTTATTTTACTTCCATCAGTTAAAAATTACATGGTAGATGTTAGAGCTGAAAAACCCCAAGAAAACAAACAAACAAACAAAAAACCCCCTCAAAAGCTGAAACTTTAGATTTAGGGCCAAGAGGTGAAAGAGTAGAGAAATCCTTGTAAATAGATCTTAAAATAGTGGTGAATTGGGTGAAAGAAAGAAAATGGAATATGGACTTTCTTTAGAGTGTAGCTCATCAAGGAATAAATATTTTGGTCTTGGATTGGGAATTAGTAAAAAAAAGCATGGTTTAGTTACTTCTGAGGCCCCCAGTTGTGCCCACATTGCCAATATTCTGGTAATTTAAAGCAACACAAACCCAGGGGAGATTTTTTCACAACCCCCCTGAAAAAAACCCAACCGCCCCAAAAAAGCAGGCATGAGGTGATGCAGCTGACAGTGCTTGAAGGCTGACTGGCTCCATGCTGAATTTGTACACACCCTAGACCAGGTTCCCATGTCAAAGTTCTGCGATGGAGCAGAAGCCACAGTGACATGGTGGTCACGAGCGTATGGTTCACTGTGCTCATGAGTAGAGTGCTTCATCAGTCAAGGAGCATCTGTTGTAGGGCATGTGTGAGAAGTTAAGCATCCGCTTCAGTGGTTGTCTCAGAGAACCTGTGCTCTGTGATTGCAGAGGAGCGACATGTGCAGTTACCATGACACACATACTGTTGAATTTTCTTTTCTTGCTTGACTCTTGGAGTTGATGGACTTCCTTTAGCTTCCATTGGTGGAAGCTTCTGAGGCACTACAGTTGAGAGATATAAATTAGACAGAACAAAAGAGGAAACAGAAACCTTTTTAAAAAACAAACCAAACAAAATTAAAAACCTAAGCATACAGGCACATGAGAAATTTATTTTCCTGTTTTAATCAATCAAATGAAGAACTGCTGTTAAAATGAAAGAGAGTATTCCTTCATGATGGCATTTTTGTGTGTTGGCTAGCTCGTATTTCTAATAAAACCATACCATCAGAGAAGAGCTTTTAGAGAATATTTTTAGTATTAAAGATTGTAATTCCCATCCTGTTTCTACATCCAGAATTCTGTGTTAGCGATTGCCTGGAATATTGCATTCAGGACCTATGCCATCAGGAATAATGTGAAATATAAACAGAGAATGTATTGTATTATCCTACCGAAACCTTATTTGTCAAGTGATAATGAGAAGGAACATTGACAGTAGCTATGGAAAAGCTTCCAGCTTTTTACTTATAAAAAAGAAAATGTCACCACTGTGCTAAAAAGCCTGTACTGCTCAAACAGCATTTGAGTCTAGACTCACCTACTTTCCTTAACGCAGCTAGCATTGCCAGAAGATACTGCTGCACAATTTACATTTACTAGATGTAAACATTTCTAGTGCCCATATTGCAGCTTTCAGACCAAAATAAACAGAATTCCAGAGACCAACATGTAAGCTTGTGCTTAAATTAGTGCCATGAAGAGGCTTCCTGAGGCTTTCTTTAAACCTCAGATCAGACCACAGCATGTCTTCACCCATTGTGGTAAGTGAAAATATGTTAGTAGTTTCATTTATAGCTCGTACGTGTTTCCTAGAAGTGAAGGCCTGGTCTGAGGGCTTAGGGAGCAATAGGATGAGGGTCAAGTTCCTGCTTTGGTTTTCCTTTTCTCCCTTCTCTGTCCCGTTTCTATACGTGTCACGTTTCTCTGAAAACCTCTGGCAGGACATGCCTGTGCTGCCTGCTGTCACTGCTGCCGTGTTCAGCTCCTAGTCCAGGGGTTACAGTTTTTGTCTGTCTACAACAGAGTGCTTTGTGTTGCTTTTTGAGGAAGAGTGTATGGTTAGAAAGTAGCCAGACTGTCTTTTTTTTGACACTTTATTTTTTTAAAAAATTTGAATTTGAAAACAATTGCTTAAGAAAAATTTGTTTAACCTTTCTGATTTTTGGCTGGAGTCATGACTACTATGAGCTCCACACTCACTGACTGGTGGGTTTGCAATTGTGATGCAATTGTTTGCAAGTAGCAGTTGGAAGTTTCAAAATGTTGGGTTTGTACTCTTTGTCTTGAAGAATTTGATGGACCGTCAAGCTCGTATATCACAGTTTTGGAACCCCCAGAAATTGGGGGGTTTTGGTTTTCACTAAGGGGCTATGCAGTGTGCTTTCCTGCTGCCACCCAATGGTCTGGTAGCATAATGCGACGCTGGAAAAGCAGTGAGTCTCAGCTTGGATAAATCTTTTGCCTGTTCCTTCACTAGACAAAACATGAAACATGAGGTAATTTTTGCAAATTCTGGGGGCCAGGAGGGTTAACGCTGAATAAGCTGCACGTACTTTGCACTGAAGTTCCGGGAGTTCTTCAGGAACCCCAGTTTTGATGTTCAGTTACTGATCTGCTGGTTTATTGTTCTGCATCTGTCTCGGGGACATACTGCAAAATATGTTAGCACGTGTGAATGGAGGGAATATGCCTGAGAGGTTAAATCCATCGTATTTGTAAAGCTGGGAGTGGGAAGACACATGTTAATAAAATGTTGGGCTTTAATATCTTCACTATCTCTTCCTCTCTATCCTAAAATAATCTTTGAAGTGCTAAGTTTCCTTTAATGCCTAAATGATCTCTTGTTTGCAAAATATTGTCATGGATCTAAAAGATGATTTATCTTTGTCTGCTTTTTATTTTGTCTTATTTCTCATGCGGCACAACAGAAAAATTCACTGTAAGTGAACCTGAAATTACTTATTGTGCTGGTTTTGCCTGTAATTCCCAGCGTGGTTTTCTGTGTGAAGTGTTGGTTGCTTTGGGGGTTTTTTTTGAGTTGCATGTGAAGAAACAGGAGATTTTGCTACATTTGGTTTTGTTTGATATTGTGCTGTATCTGTTTAATCATTATGGCATACTTAATTTTTTTGCTATGTCAACTAAACAATATATTCAAGGCTGTAGTTAAATTCCTAGAAAAAAAGTTCTGTGAGCTTCAGTTTATTATATCATAGTATTGCCTGACAGCACCATGGTAGGTAAGTTCTGTTTGTCTCTCCGATTTTCTGAGATTGACTGTTTTATTAGTGCATTTTGAGCTGACATGTGGTATTTGTAGTCTCCTAAGCTTGTGAAACATGCTTTAGATTTATTTATGTATGTTTTAGCTAATGAAATCTTGGACACCAAAATTTCCTTTGAAGTTCATTTTTTCAACTAATGACACCTGAGAATATTCTTTTAATCAGGGCTATCTTATGTTTATCAAGCTTTGGCACCCAGTAGTTCTGGAAATTCGTATATGTTGTTCACTGACTTTGTTATTTAAATAAGAAAATGAAAGGTAATTGTCTATCTTGGAAACTTTATTTTTAAACAGTTCTTTAGCTTCCAGCATTGGAAGGTCTGTATCTTGTGCTAAACTTTGTTCTGTTTAAACCAAAATCTGATGTTTCTTTCTTCTTGACCAATTTTTCCTGCTTTTTGCTGACTTTTTTATTTTTCCTAGTCAAGGGCATGTTTTGCTGTTTGCATCTCTCCCAGATTTGCTGGGATTGTCCAGATGTTATCGAATGCTTCCATGGCCTGCAGGCAGTGAGCAAATCATTGTCAAGTTACAACATTGTTGTAACATGTCAGTTTTTCATGACATTGTGTTGGTGCTTCAGACCAATTCTTCCTTCCAGATAAACTGAGAACATCAACCTCCAAAGGAGAGAGCCCATGAGGTCTTTTGTCCGTTGCATCTTTACAAAGTGTTCATATAGAGGGGTGAACCGAAGACCTATTTACAAAAAGAAGTCATTCTGGTGAAACTTGTTGATATTAGTACAGAAATTATAGAAGCACTTTCATAGAAAATCTATACACTTTTGTGAAGTTCAGCCTCTTTCCAGTGGTGTAAAAGTATCAGTAAGCTTTAATATTAAAAGATGTTTCTACAGAGTGCTAGTTTTGATTCTGCATAAATACCAGTGACAGAACTCAGAGGTGAGCTCACCAAATTAAAAGTTCTTAAAAAAAAAAAAAAAAAAACAAAAAACCCCCCAAAAACAGAACCAAAAAAAGCCCAAACAAAACCAGAAAACCAAACCTACTGCTTTGTACAAGTGATATGGTGGAGACCATGGTTCAAATTCAGTTTCTTTGCTTTCTGTGAGCTAGCTTGAACTTGGCTCTCATTTGTGGTGAGGATGACATGAGTATCACTGCACGATGTGTGATGGGCAGTAAGGGTGGGATGCTGTAATTGGAGGTGAGGGGGAAGGGTGGTTCTTTCTCCAGGGTCAGAGACAAATGCAGATTGGGCCGTTCCTGGCCAGCAGATAAATTTCCTGCATAGCTGAAGATGACTAAATCCTTCATTGAATTTGGAGGGGATATCCTTGGAGCTACTTACGGATCCAAAAGGACAGAGAACTGACTCCGTTGATGTACGGGAATTTTAACTCCAAACAGGACGCTGTGATTTTTGGAACATCTTTTGGGATTTTGTGCTGTTGGTGGCCCGATAAGAGGAGCGTACCTTGGGCTGGCACAGAACTGCCGGGCTCAGTGCATCCTATCTGCCGGTCCCACAGTGGGTTAAAGTTAACCTTAACCAGACACTTCTCTTGACAGCAGTGGTGTGGTTGTGTTAATTTGGGGGACTTTTATTAAACTTCAAGTTCTGATTTCTTGTCCTGGTGGTGCTTGGGTGGGAGGTGAGATGGGTCCCATGCAGGGGGGTGGCTCGCTGTCCGTACCTCAGCTGGGCTCTGCAGGTGAAGCTCAAGCCGTGGGCTGACATTCTGCGAAAGAAACTTACTGATTAGGTACCAGCATTTTATTGTTGATGCCTGAAGATAATGTGTAACAGAGGTATTTAACAAGTTGTTACTTTGAGTAAGACACGTTTCATCCTTGGTGGGGGGTAGTAAGCTGTAAATGTCAGCAGGTGCTCGTCTCCCATGCCATGTGCACTGTGCTACTGTCACTCCAAATGCCGTCTGCTGAAACTGTAAATGCTTCCAGGCGGTCTAAGTTTCTGAGCATGACTAGAAGCAAATAAGATGCTTTCCTCACTTTTGAAGTGGCATCTCTTTGCCATTGCTTTTCTGCTTTGAGGATAGTCATTGAGCCTTAAGCAAAAGAGGGGAAGGTTGGTAAAAGTTCTTCACTGCACGGTGAGGAAACTACACTTCCACAAGTCTGTTTAGTGGTTCTCTCGAGGACTCGAAAGAAAACAACCTCAAGTTGGGAGCTATCATTGAAGCGTCAAAACCTTACCTACGCAATTCTTGAGTATTACCACTTGTGCATGTACTTTAAAGTATTGGTAGCTCCTATACCTACTTGCCTGTGCAAAACCTGATGTATAACATCATTTTTGTTGATACGCTTACATGAAAATGATTGCTGAGTCGCTATTTACAGTGTTGCTGGTGTTTCGGGGGGGTTGAATATTGCTTCCTCCTCCCCCAGTCAGTTTTCAAAGTCATTCACCAAGAATTTGAAAAAAACAGTGGTCTGAGTGAGTTGGAAAGCACTGGTTCTTTTTGATAATGCCTCTAAGACTGTAAATAAAAGCTGCTATTATGCGATGGTATAAACAGTATGCTTTGAGACTTTGTATTAGGAAACAAATGAGAACAAAACCTTACATTGTGTTACCAGATAACTTCTTAAAAGAATTAGTCTCTGTGTTTGTTTTCAACCTATTGTATATTCAGTAGGTAAATCTTAAAAGTTTAGGATATCATGTGTACGTATGTTGAATTCATGTAACTCTTCCTCCAGAAGGGATTATTCTACCAGAAAAGCATTCAATAACAATGCAGTTGGTTTATACTTAGTTTTGTCAGAGAGAAATTGGCCACAAACTTCCTTCCTTAATTCTCCCACAGAAAATCTCCGGTCAATTGTATTCTAGGTTTTTAACTTAAAGTTAGATGAAAAAGCAATGAACTGCATTTGTGCTGGTTTGCCACTAGTTTTGATATAATAAATGTTTCTTGTTTAATTTTTGAAGAAATTGCCTTGAGCTCATGTTGTCTTCGCTTTTTTTTTTCCCATGACAGCTGTAACTCTGCGAGGAGACAGTGGTAGAAGATCGGAGAGGAGAGCCAGGCGAGTTTCAGCATGTCTCTCAGATCATTCACTGGCTAGTGACAGTGGCGTGTTTGAAGCTTTAAGCAAAAGGTCAGGTGTATAAATGCATAGTAAACTGGAAATATTCCTGTTCTACCACACGGTCCAAAAGTGTTCATTGTAAATTTCTGAATATGCTTTCAAAATTGCTAATTCTTAGTAACATAAAAATATTAGGTTGCATGTTTTAAAGGAAAGAAACTTTTTACATGCAGTTCCACTGTCATCTTCACAAGTGCCAAGTCCCTTCCATTCTATTGTCTCTAACATTTTAGCACCATATGCTTCTCCCTTGAAAGATAGTTTTCTCAGCTTATTAGTTGTAAATCAGTAACTTTATTTCAACTGTCTATAACAGAAGAAAATTGTACAGTGTGACTTACAATTCTGAGTAGCATGTAATAAAGGTATAACTGCAAGGAAGAAATAATATGAACTGCTGAAAAACTAAAAATGTGTAGGCTGACCCAGTGACTGAAGGATGGATAAAGACGTGTTACTTCGTACAATTGTTTTAACACAATAAACAATAACTGGGAAGAAGATAAGGTTTTGAGGATGCTAAAGAGAAATGGAAGACAGAATATTAAAATAACCTAAATATCTTGAAAGAGGTATTCTGAAACCTCAGTTTTTAAAATTGTGAATTACTACTTCTGTGTGCTAAGTAGATACCTCAATTCCTTCTGTATTACCTGTCCCTCCTCTATTACCAAACAATTGCTTATATCTACAAATCACAAAATAAGTGTTTATTTCATTAGGTTTTAACAGCTTAGGTGAGTATGTAGTTTACAGTACTTTATTCCTGCAGGAATGAAGATCTGGAAGAGCCTGTTTATGGTGATGCTGCCAGTAATGAAGAACCACAAATACATGTTGGATTTCTGTGAGTAGTTACTCCTCTTTCTCCCTGTCGACTCAGCAGAAATTGCTCACTACTTTTCTTGGTTTTGTTTTTTAACTTTTTAATAAACTAACTGCAGTGGATAGTTGTAAGAAGTTTCTGAACTGACAGCCAAAGTTTAGTGGATACACAGATTAGTCATTCACATGCCACTTTGTGCTGGGGCTGTGCCTTAACCAAAGTTCATTCAGTGTCCTTTCAGTGCTGGCTGATACAAGGGCCTTCATTACTTCTTTCAGTAGCATTTATTTTCATTGCCTGGGCCCTTAGTGTGAGTATGGATATAGGGATATATCCCTGAGTGAGATCTTTTTATGCCAGATAAAGGAGGATTACCATAGGAAAGTCACAGGTGAAGAGACACAAATACAGTTCCCAAACAGCTTGGAAATCCCGTGCTTAGGGCTTGCTATTGTTGGTAGTGGGAGTAGTGTGGGGAAGGGCAGACTCTAACATTACAAGGCAGGATGTCTTCTCTTAGCCCTGCAGAATCATCTCTACCCCTTGGAAAATTAATTGTTTTCAAAACTCAACCAGGTTTGTTAGTTCCATTTCAAAATTCATATTGTTGTGAAACAGTAGAATTTTTTTTCATTAATCCATGAAAACAATGCAGACTGATTTGTCTAATATAACTGATAATGTTGTTAACACATGCGTGCATGTGCCCACATGCACATGCATATGGTGTAACTGTTTAAACCAAGGAATGTATTTTATAAAATCTGTTCACTGTCAAGAGTCACAGTAAGGAATGTTATTCTTTTCAAACTGAATAACGCTTAATTCTCTTAGTTCTGATAACTTTGTTACTGTAGCTAATATTAATGTCCTGTTATCAGAGTGTGATATCTGTAATTGCTTTTCATTCAAACTGATCTGTGGAAGAGATTTGTTTAACAACCAAAGGTGCTTTTGCATTCGTTAAATCTTTTTAGTCTTTCATCTCTATCTCTTAAGCAAAGTATTGATGCTTGGTGACTAATACAGGTAATTTATTTTCCAGGCATGACAGTGGAAGTGAATGTCTGTTAGTCCATGTGTTACAGCTGAAGAACTTTACTAGACTAGTTGTTAAAGAAAACTGCAAAATGTAAGCCTAAATTTCACCCAAAGTCTGATCATTTCTTGTTTTCTGCCACAATTGAAAATACTATAGATTTGTTTGCTTTCATGCAAAATTAAGCCATTTCTGGAGAAGATGGTATGTCTTAGTTTACATGAGGAACGGGTTAATTTTATGGACACAAAGTGTACCTTTTATAGAACCTCTGTCATAATAGTCAGGTAACAAGTGTAGTCTCTGCTGACCCATGTTCTTATGAGTTTTTTATGCACAGGAAAGTTTGTTCAGAAACGCCAGTCATGCTTCCATCATCCCATGCCTTCTGGCCAAGAAGCTGTATACGTTATTTGCAGTATTCCAGAAATACTATTTCCTGTACAACTTCTCTACAGCTGATCTGTGATGTATCCCAGAATAAGGCTAGTGTAACTTTCTCAAATTCCTACGGCAACATTTATATTAATCAGTGAGAGAGATACCTTGCGCTTTATCTTAAAAACCAAACCCACCAACCAACCAAACAACAACCAAAAACACCCAGGACATCTGCAGACTTTTGTGGCCATTACAGCTGTCCTTGAATATCTGTGAAACACCTTCTGAAGATAATTTTAACACAAATACTAGCTGAGAATCAGTACAAACAACTGAATTTTTTAACCTCTGGCGGCCTGTGCTACTTTTTTAAATTCTGTATTGCATTATATAGAACATTGCTTAATTTAGTCTAATAAATGTTTCTTAAATAATGGCATGTTGCCATAAAACACCATGTTATCTAGTGATATGTGTCTTAACATTTTAAAGAAATTTGACACATGAAAATTGTTGATCTTTATCTCTGGGAGAGATTGTTTGAAAATTGGAAAATGGCAGTGTGATAACATTGTTGTATCGTAAAATAAGTCATTCTGTGGGAGTTCTTAAATTGACATACATCTCACTGAATGAGTTGATCTTTCTTCAAAATGTTTGATCTCGCTAACCCTGTAAACCTCTGATGGAAATTCGTCATGCAGGTCAGTGCATTAGTGTTGGTCTTTTGCTTTGTTTTCAGAGTGAGGGCAAGGGCATGCGATAGGGAAAAAATGTAAGTATTGAGTAGCACACAGCCGTGTTGCCCCATGATTAGAAAAAGAAATAAGCATCATCTGACGAAAGTAAAGTAGAGGCACCAAAGAGAAAAAATTATTCCAGAGGGTGTGTTGGACATTGTCATCAAGGCAATCAGGCATCTAAATGACTCTCAAAAAGGCAGTTCTGTTCCCCATCCTTCTCAGTTAACTACCTGGGCTGGAATCAAGAAATTGCCTGGCTGCAGGGTAAATCAATTGGTTTAACTGATCAAAAAAAGAAGTTTGTCTTACCAAAACCAGAAAAAGCTTTTAGCCAGGTTAATGGACTCCTCCATGCGACTGTACGTTCACCGAATGAGTTCTTGGGGACAGCCGGGGGGAGGTTACCTGCAGCAGCCAGTGAGGAGAGGGGTTGGATTGCTCCCTTTTCACAGCCTGTGAAGCTGTTGAGCAAACCGATGCTCCACACTCCAGCACTGCAGTTCCACCATAGTGAGCTCTTCCAGTTGTCCTCTAACCATTCATTTGCCAGTCAGTGTCAGCCCCTCTCTGGTGGTGGCATAAGAGCTCACGCAGCTGTGTAGTCAACTTGAGTGAGCCTCTGAGCTGGATTTTTGTGGGTGGTGGGTTTGGTTTTTTTTTTTTAAATCCTTCAGCTTTCCCCGCCTCCCCCTCCCCGATTAGTTTTTTAACCCAGATAAACTTTCCAGTCTGGGTCACAACACAGTTGTATGAAGCTGTTTGCTGGCACAAGGGAAGGTACGGCAAAAAACAGGATCTTGCAAGGGCTAAACAAGCAGTCAGGACAGGGAGAACAAGAACACAGAAACACCTCTCTAAGTAGCTCTGCTGCCTTCTGTCAGATTAAAATGGTTGTGGATTTTGGTTTTGGCTTGGACTCTCAAATAAGATGTTTAAATTTGCTTTTTAAGACGGCAGATGGATGAGATGCAATGATTGCACGTTTCTTTTGCCATCCTTTTGTGCTGAGTTTCTTCAGGGGGGAAGAAAAGGTATGCTTAGTGGGTAGAAGGAAGAAATGGATCAGTGACACTTATGGGGCAATTCAGTCGCCTAAACATAGGCACATGTTTCCATTTGAAATAGCATAGCATAGCACCTGGCCTCCAGCTGCTGCTGCTCAGGGGAAGGCTGTAGCTCTCCCATAGATCCAATGTCAGATTTGTTAGCCCCATGTAGATGCCTTGGATACCTCGGGGCATCTCAAGTGGCACTTGGTGCCTCTGTTTAAGCACCAAGTTTAAAAAAAAAAAAGATTAATTAGAAAAAGATAGCGTTTCTGAATCAGCTTTGCAGTTCTGTGTGAAGAATACAAAGTAAATTCCTGTAACGAGGAGATCCCAGAGCAGATTCTTAATGTAAAAGTTATGCTGATGGTTTTGCTTAGCTTGATTTTGAGAAATGCAAAAGAGCTTTCTTTGTCTGAATTGTGCTATTTGTCTATTTTGCTGTTCCCAGTCATGTGAGAGTTTATTTGCCACCACTTGAGTCAGGCACACCAACCACTTACTGCTCTAGAGCTTTGGAATTCCAAACTCCATTAATATTTAATGAAGTTTTCCGAATCCCTGTACATTCAAGTGTTTTGAAATTAAAATCACTGCAGCTGTATATCTGTTCAGTTGACCATCAGCAACAAGAAGAACTATTGGTAAGTGGTCCTTTTTTTTAAAAGCCATGTGATACGGGAAACTAAAGTTATTTGAGGAATAATTTTTAAGAATAAAAAGAGAAAGTGAAGACTTCATTTTTCTGTAAGAAGTGCTGATAGAGTTACATGTTAATGTGTCGGTTTCTTCACATGTGTAGGTATAGTTCTGTTAAGAAAAAAGATGAGATTTTTTTAGAAGTTGAAATATATGTATTTTAGGATACACAAAGTCTTGGAATTAATTCTCTAATTAAGAGGTTGAGAATTGGAGCATTTTAAGCCGTGTTGAAAGTAATGTTATCTGTACTACTGTTTACTATTAGATTGCAGAGGCATGTTGAAAATTGATATAAGGTTTACATTAATTGCTATGGGATTTAGTAGATAAGGAGTTAATTTTTTATTTATTTAATGCATTTCTTACAAATGTGTGCTTTGGGGAAAGTTGAAAAATCTGCTGTTGCTAAATTTAGGTGCAAGAAGGAAAACATTGTGTAAAAAAGGAAACTTTTCACCAAAGACTTAATCTGACAGCTTTTAGACTACGATGTGCTCAAGACTTTTGTTTCTGCATGGCACTGTAACACATGCATGACATATCAGCGTTATTAAAATAGTTTTCTGATAAGAAGATAACAAATACAAACCCCTTGTTGCTATATAGCAGTGGGCAAAGACGACTACTATCATATCAGTCTTAACTTTGTTGCGGGATAATAGTGGTCCAGGCAGGTTTCTGTTACACCAACGTTTTACTTTAAACTGATTGAGATATCTGATGTAGATGCATTCAGATAAATGTAGCAATTGTTTAAATAGGTTACATGTGTTAACTGTGTTACCTTTAGATGTGTTAAATGTTAGCTTCCTTTAGCTATTGTCAAATGTAAATATGCTTAAATAAATCCGCCTTGGGGCTGGTGTCCTGACTGTTTTGGAGTGAGTGGGCTGCCATTTCAGTGAGGGGTTTGAATGGGTTAGTGACTTTTTTTTTTAAGCCTATCACAGTACTTAAGAGGTACAGACATCTCAATGTCATGCTGGACTATGGATAATGTTTATTTGAGCAAATCTGATCAAGAATGCATGTTTTTTAGTCCACCTTTAAAACTAGGTAGAGTCTTTTATAAACAGTGGTCTTAACATTGACAGAAGTGGACCCAAGGTCTTGTCTGCAGTAGGAAATTTTGTCATTTTTGCACTACAACATAATGAAAGAGAAAGCATCTCAAGAACAGACTGGATATATTGATGTAAAATGCTTTATACGGGTATAGCCTGTTCCTGTGGGAAGCTAAATAGCTATTTCAATGTAAAGCATCTTTATATTGACACAAGTGCATCTAAGTTTAGGGCACTTTTATTTTAACTACCATTACTGAATTAGCAAAAAAAAGATAGGTCTTCAGGTTATGTTGGTAGGATTTTTTTCTCTTTTCATAGTGTAGTTTTGTCAGAAATATCTTTGTCTACAGTAATTGCTGACATACCTTAGGGTAAGTTAACAATGCTACTCAAAAAGAGAAACAATGCCATGGTTTCTTAAGGTAGGTGCATTGAAGTATGTATTTAAACATTATGATCATTGCCCTCTTTTGCTGTAAATTGAAAATAAGCATTTTCTCAAATTGAGAAATCATTTGCTACCTCTCTTCAGAACTGCTGTGATAGCCTCTATCAACAAGGCCTGTGTCCTTCAAGATCTCTTCCACTGAGGTTACATTTTTTTTTTCCATATATTTCGGAAGTTCTTGATGACTGCTTTCTTTTCAATTAGATTATGCCAGTTTAATGCTTTCCTAAATGCGGAAGCCAGGCTGGAGTTTATCTTAAGTTATACAAATATTTGTACATAACGGGGGGAGGGGGGGGGAAAGAAGAAATATTCTGGGAAATAGTTCCAAACTTCACTTAATTAGAGAAGTAAATCTACTAAACTTGTAGGATGGTCTTTCCATTCCCTGGACCTTTTACTCATGCCCTGCCTTGCTGAAAGATCTTTTTCTGATCTCCTACAGCTTTCTGAAACTTTGCTTCCTTAAGTTGGCTTATTTCTTCCCTGGTGGCGTCATCAATGTTGAGATAAGGGAGTTGTTGTTTTCCATGATTAGCATATACAGGTCATGTGAAAACATCAGAGAAACACGATTGCCTTTCTTGCAGTCACGTAGCATTGCTGTTTCACTCCCCGTTTCTGATCTTTTACAGTCCTGACCACCCAATTACTCCCTGTGTCTTAATTTGTTTGAATTCTTCTTCTTGAGTGTACAGTTTGTCTTTTTGCACTTCGTGTTTTTATTTCAGAACATCCATCCTATTTTTTAAGATAATTTTAAATTCTGATCCTTTTCTCGTGAATTTTACAGTCCCTCTGTTTGACATCACCAAGAGATTCATAAATGCTTTTACTATTACACCGTCCAAGTTGTTAACAAATGTGTCAGAGCAGGCATCTGACAGACCTCTAACAGACCCACCTTGGTTTCTTCGTCCTTTTGAGTAGCTCCAAATCTTGAGGTGGAGGTGAAATATTAATTAGTCCTTTCAGCACTAATAATTATTAATTGGGTTTGATGGTGATTTTTCTACCCAATTAGTCATTCACTTTGTAGTAACAGCTTCTTTGGCATGCTTTCTTAGCTGCTTAATAAATGCAGTGTGTAGGGCAGTGTCAGACATCTTAGGAGTCAACTTATGTTTTTTCCAGGAAAACAGCTTTCCCCTCTACCTCTAAAACCAAACCCAGCACGTCTTAAACATTTTCCAACTCTGATGCAAAAGTGTGAGTATTTGATACATGTGACTTTCTTACACTGCGTCAGAGCAAGCAGATAATTAGAAGACATCTCTGTTTTATATAAAAGAAAAGGCATCTCTGTTTCAACTGACATAAAATGACATTCTCAGTAACATGTTGTATCCTGATATGACATTATTTTGTTAGCCTCAAAAACTTTTCTCCATTGTCCTTTAGACACCTGTTTAAACAGAACCCCAGGGAACATTCATCTTGGAAAAACAATACAATGATTTTTTTATTATTACTATTTTCTAATTAACTGTTTCTTTACCTGCTTAAAGTTGAATGCAGTTTCTGTATGCATTTCCTACTGCCTTTACAAATAGAATCACTGCATTCAGCTATTTGTTTTGTAAGAGATTAAAACAATTTTTACATGATTTTTTTTGAGTGATATAAATGAAAACATTCTTAGCATGTGGTCCATTAGCATGGAAACGAACAGGTTGTAGAGATAGCCAGATAAAGCCAAAAGCCAGTAATTAAAGGCTAGCTAATATAAAATCATTGCTAGGTCCAACTAGTGAACTGATTTTTTTAAAAAAAGACAAACATGGATTGGCTCACAGCTGTTTTTTCATTTAGGTCAATACCACTCAGAAATTTCTTAGATGAGCACTGTCTGATGGAGTAAGGCTACTTTAAAGTTGGGAATACTTGTAGTGGGAAGCCTCCATTAAACCTGTTTTCACCTGAATCTGGGAGATGTAAGGATAGCTTGGAAAGTGAAAAAATGGCATTATGGCCCATTTGACTACCTTATGATGGGAGGGAAGGGATGCCATCCAGAGGGACCTTGACAAGCTTGAGATGTGGGCCCGTGCGAACCTCATGAAGTTCAACAAGGCCAAGTGCAAGGTCCTGAAGATGGGTCAGGGCAATCCCAGGCACAAATACAGGCTGGGCGGAGAATGGATTAACAGCTCTGAGGAGAAGGACTTGGGGGTACTGGTTGATGAGAAGCTCGACATGACCTGGCCATGTGCGCTGGCAGCCCAGAAAGCCAACCATATCCTGGGCTGCATCCAAAGCAGCGTGATCAGCAGGTCAAGGGAGGGGATTCTGCCCCTCTGCTCCTCTCTGGTGAGACCCCCCCTGCAGTACTGTCTTCAGCTCTGGGGTCCTCAGCACAAGAAGGACATGGACCTGTTGGAGCGAGTCCAGAGGAGGCCACGAAGATGATCCGAGGGCTGGAGCACCTCTGCTGTGAGGACAGGCTGAGAGAGTGGGGGTTGTTCAGCCTGGAGAAGAGAAGGCTCCGGGCAGACCTTAGAGCAGCCTTCCAGTACCTAAAGGGGCCGACAAGAAAGCTGGGGAGGGACTTTTTACAAGGGCATGGAGTGATAGGACAAGGGACAATGGTTTTAAACTGGAAGAGGGAAGATTTACACGAGATATTAGGAAGAAACTCTTCAGTGTGAGGGTGGTGAGGCAGTGGCACAGGTTGCCCAGAGCAGCTGTGGCT